TGTAGGTCCTCCAGAAGCAGAGGTCATGGTGAATGCAGTTGCCTGAAATTAAACTGAATAATCTTCCATTGATACATATGTGTCCACTTTGTAATAATAATATTATTATTAGTAATAACACACAAATATCAATTACATTTACCCATCAGAATAATTACCAGCCCCTCTGTTCTTAAGACCCATGTCAGGCATACCAAAAATAAGCTCTGCTTGTATCCGAGGCCACAGTGCAATGCCTTTGCGGCCCTGTCAATAGCAAACATAATCTTGTAGACTCAGTGCAAATTGTTGAGAGATGAGCATGAGAAAGGGCCATGTTTATGTCTGACAAAGGTGAGTGTAATGGGATTATCTTGTTTTAAGGGTCCACAAGGAGAACCCGGACCCCCGGGACAGCAAGGAAACCCAGGGGCTCAGGTAAGGTTATATTTGTCCAAGTTTAATCCAGAGCTGTCTCCTCGCCCCAGCAGGCGACTTACTGATCAGAATGACCGCTTATCTCAGTGTGTATTTTACCCAGAGTGCACTGGGCAGCCAGTCTTGCATCCCTTGGCAAGCAGAAAAAGCAGTAGAGGAGATAAGTGCTTCTGGATAAGTGCTTTCTGGCGCAGTGTATTTTACGGCTTCCCGCCGCTTCCCTTTACAGGGTCTTCCGGGTCCCCAGGGACCCATCGGTCCTCACGGAGAGAAGGTAGGCCAAGTCCCGCTAGATAAAATGATAAAAATATACGGCTCATAATAAGATGAACATTTTTGTTAATAATATACCAATTTAATTATAATTACAGGTTAACGCAGACTGTCAAATTTCAAGTTAATCACAAACGCTATGCTATTCTCTCACCCTAGGATGATATGTGGCTACTTATTGCTCATCTTCGGCATTACAGATTTTTATGAGATACTTTTCATGTTTGTTTTGCCTCTGGAATAGTCATGGGGTAGATGACAATGGCAGTGCATGTCTGGCATGAACAGCTCTATATAAAAGCTTAATTGTGCCAGATGAATACCAAGTTAATCGTATTTTTTACCGAATGACCTGGGTACATAGTAAACAACCTTCCAGTCAAAATTCTAGAAAATATATTTTTATAGTAAGACTTTATACCTGTGTCTTGGAATAGTCTGTGCATTGTGCTATTGTTCTTTATAGACATGTTATCCTGGGCTCTTGTAAAAAGCACTATTTTAATTTATTATATTTTTTGCTGCAAGATTATATAACGCATTTGTGGTCTCCCGCAAGTTGATTCCCCCTTGGAAATCTGTGATAGTGTAACCATTTGCTGTCTTTGATTGAGTAGTACAGCTCTGGAATTAATTAAGAGAGCACAGCAACATTTTTAGTTTCACATATCTCTCAATTTATGGCTGTGCTTCTGTGTAAAATATAATTTTTTTCTTGCAAACTGCAGCCTGGTTCTTCTCTGTTTCTCATTAATGAAGGGCTTCTTCTTTGCTTTATGGGACTTCAGTCCTGCTTCTAGGAGCCTGATATGAACTGTCCTAGCAGTGCACTTCACACCTGCACTTAATGTTTCCCATTACTTTTGAAGGTCACTTGTGGTCATCTTCCGAATCCTGAGGCACTGTTGGATACTTTGACAGTCATCTCTAGAATTAGAAAGTTGCTTCTGCCTTCTGCCTAGTTTTTGGTCATTCTCAGTGTTTCCTGCTTGACATTGTTCTTGTGTACTGCAGTGTTACATATTTTGAGCTTGGAAGCAATCTGCCGCTCAGTGTAGCTTTCTGCCAGCAGAACCAGGATTAATTCAGGATTTAACAATGCAGATTCTTAAAAAATATGGAGCGGCCCCTTAATTTTTCTCCAGAGCTGCATGTGTTACTGATAGTGGTTTTCTGCTCTGCACAGGGTCCAACAGGGAAGCCGGGCCTTCCGGGGATGCCCGGTGCGGACGGGCCAGCGGTGAGTTTCTGCCTTCCGCATGCGCCCGATGTACCTGGTGATTGGCAGGTGTGCCACGCTCCCCTGCAGAGGCAAACGGCGTGCGGTCGGAGGAGTACCAGTGCAGAGACACAGAGCACGAACCTGCTGCGCTTCGATTTGCAGGAAGGCTTTGCTTCCTGTGGAACACTATGTTGCAGCTATGGAGCAGCTGTCCATACCAGGTCTAGCTGGCAGTCATGGCGACTCGCATCCCAGTCCATGTTCTGCTCCTTCCACTTATGCCGCGGATGTCGACCTCTCCTAATTAAACGACTTTGACTCCTACCATTGATCATGCTCAAGTGAGCAACGCAGCCCAGGAGAGAGCATCGAAACAGATGGTGCTAACATATTCGCGGCAGCTCAGGAGGAAACTAGTTCCTTTTGAGGACCTCTTTCATGTCTATTCCACACCTGGTTCTCTTCTCAGGGACTGACAGACAAGTCGGCGAATCACTGATAACCCCCCCCCCCGCCCCCCACCCCACAAGGAAGTCATTATTGATAGCGTTTACTACCACACTGCAACATAGCAATGGCGAGTAATGAGCAAGCTATGCTCAACCACATGTCTCAGAGGAGTAGAATTCATTTCCTCCACCCCTGAGACATCAAGGGGTCACACTGTGCATATTAACCAGGGTTTAGTGGCTTTCGGAGGAGTAGGGTTATTGTATCATAATTAATAAAAATCCCAGAACCACATACTGCTAAGAATCTTTTGTTAGTCTTCTTAATGACTGTTTAATGTTTTTGTAGCTTGCTGTATTTAGAGTATTAGGGAAAGGATTTCTCAGTTTGAAGCTTTAATCCTGAGATCCTGGCATTGTTTTCTAAAGCTATCCAGCCCTACCTGTCATCCTTTGTAAGATATTTATATGTAATGAATGTAATTGCATAACAAGAGCTCCTTGTTTAATAATTTATAGGGTCACCCTGGAAAAGAAGGACCTAATGGTGAAAAAGGACACTTGGTAATTTAGTTACTATAAACCTTTTATTAGAATTTTAAATAATAAGAATGGCAACATGAAAAATGAGTCTTCATTTATGTTCCTTTATGTTTCTCCCCAAGGGTCCTGCTGGTTCTCAAGGTCCAATTGGGTATCCTGGATCAAGAGGAGTAAAGGTTAGTTTGTTCTGCTGTGCCAGAGGTGAAACATACCTGATTAATTCCTTGAATGCTTCAGAAAATATCCTTGGGACAAAACTGCTGCTTTTATAATACAATAACCTGAGTGTGATCTTCTTATAGGGAGCTGAGGGAGTCCGAGGCTTGAAAGGAACCAAAGGTGAAAAGGTAATTAATGAGCATTATTTACCAGCATCTTTTCTCATCAAACATTGCTATTTCTGACAGGGTGCTTATGTCTACAAGGTTCTAGATTAATTTATACACATTACAAGATAGAAAATCAAATGTCCCGTGTGTGAGGGCCAGAGTGATAGATGTTATGTCTAATTCGCCTATTTTATAATCTCAGCCGATGTGAATATTAAAATGCATTTATATTCCTGACATGCCACTTAAACCATTGAGTTGATCTTAGATATTTGGGTATTTTTCTTACTGTTTCTTATTGTTTCTTCTCTCCCAGGGTGAAGATGGATTTCCCGGACCTAAGGGGGATATGGGGATCAAGGGTGACCGAGTAAGACCTTTCGTCTTTTTCTGTGTAATATAAATATTAGGATATGCACAGTATGAGTCATATGTAAATAATTGCTGTCAGGATTATTGAAGTCTGAAGGTATTGGATCCCATCTGCTTAACTGCAGTCACTAAACAATGTTATACTTCAGAATGGAGTCTCGTTACATTGATTACATTAGTAGGTTCTTGATCCATATAGGAAGACAACTGACAGTTATGTCATAGGATACATTGAAAATATTTACTACTTCTTGATTGCTTATTCATTCAACAGCAATGCCTCATGAAATAAAGACCTTGCCTGGAGTTATGGTCTTGATAGTCTAGGAAATGGATGCATATTTCGACGGTAATGTAACATTCACAGGGAGAGCTAGGTGCTGCTGGGCCCAGAGGTGAGGATGGTCCAGAGGGCCCCAAAGGTCGGGGTGGTCTTCCTGGGGACGCCGGTCCAAATGGTCCAACTGGAGAAAAGGTTAGGCCGGCATGTTCATCACATTTATCTGATTCCTTTTAGCAGATTTTCAGTTTTAAAAACAATATTCCGTCTCCCCTTTATTCTTTGTATTAAGGTATAAAGAAGAAATTGAAAACTGTGTTTTATATATAATATCCACATTGTTGCCATATTGTTTAATTCAACACAATGATGAGCACTGAAAAATAGTTCAGACGGAATTATTTTCAAAAGTGCACATACTCCGATAAAAGGAAATTTGCTGAAATAAAATTTAATAAATAGCATCCGTAGTTTATCCATCGCAAATATTTTTTCAATTACTTTACTGAAATATATGTTGAAGGTCTTTTGCTAATGTTATTATTCAAAGGGAAAGCTGGGTGTTCCCGGGTTGCCTGGCTACCCAGGACGGCAGGGCCCGAAGGTAAGCAGCCTCTTTTAGTGCTGAATATGTCATTACACCGTCAAAGGTGGCTTTTTGTCTGTTGAAGGCCAGAGTCATAATGTTATCAGGTACTTACACTTAAATGCACCAGTGTAGGTAGTGAGTATGCTATTGAAGGTCGCTGATTAAACATGGCAGTTTGGGGGTTTCTGCTAGACCCGTGGTTCTCTTTTGACAGCTCAAACTTTGAAGTTAATGCTGCGTAGGTTTGGGCTCTTGATCAAAGCCTGTTTCTGTATGCTGTGTGGTGTCTGTTGAGCTCCTAGTACACTTTACTTTCCCCCAAGTACTTTATGCTACTTTGTCTTTGCAGGGTTTGTAATTAAATCTCTTCCTTGTTTATGACTATTTTAGGGTTCTCAGGGGTTCCAAGGATTTCCAGGGGCAAATGGCGAGAAAGGAACAAGGGTATGTCAAATAAGATAAGCTTGTAAGCTTTCAAAAGTTAAATAACTGAAATACAAAATACGAGACTTAAGAATTACTCTTATGTTGTGTACAGCGTAGTTATATTATATTACCTTAAATTATAAGGTTTACCATATAGTTTTTAAGCTTAGCATACTTGTTGATTTATTGCTACAGTATATTGTAGTTTCCTATATACTTATTTACGTATGTATTACCATGACAGTTAGAGTTAGCTTTGACCTTGAATGGCTACAAAGTAACTCTTCAGTTGTTCCGTTTATCATAGGTGTCAATAGAAACATTATGATTTGCACTATGCCCAGTATTTTATAACGAGTGTAGAGAGTTTAAGTAAATTTCTGTAGCTATATGTTTTGATATCCTTCTGCACATAACATAACAACATTACATAACATAACATAACATATCCAAGAAAAAGCATCTAAATGTCTTGTGTTATAATATGTCAGGGAACAGCAGGAAAACCAGGCCCCCGTGGACAGAGAGGACCAACAGTGAGTATTCCTATGGCAATACAGACATGGCCTGTTTATTAGGTATACACCTGCTTGGCAAAGCAAACATCCGTCCCTACTAAGCAACAAATCATGTGGCTGCAGCTAAATGCATCCAGGTATAGAAAGGTTTGGTTACTGTTTGGCTTTGCATTAGAATGGCTAAGATGAGGACCAAAGCATTTTTGAATGTGCTATGATTGTTGGTGCATGATGTTGTCATTTCCGCATCTCAGAAACAACCACCTTCCTGGGATTTTACCACAGCACAGAGTTTATAAAGAATGGTGATATCCAGTCAGCAACAGTTATGCAGGACAAGGCATCTTGTTAATAAGAGATATCAGGGGGAATAGCCAGAATCAGTAAAGCTACCAAAAAGACCATAACAGCTCAGTGCAGCAGTGGTGAGCAGAAGGGCTGTTTAGAATGTATTACTCACCTGTCATTGAAGAGGCTCTAATAAAGAGGCCACTCAGCGTATGTTTAAAGGGGGACATTATTATTATTATTATTGTTATTGAACATTGCTGTTGACTAACAGCAGGTTATAATTATTACAGCAGTAACAGTAACAAGTAGGTAATGATTTTGATGTATATTCCATCTCTTACCCTTTCTCCTGCTTCCAAGGGCCCTCGAGGAGAAAGGGGTGCAAGGGGTCCAACAGGAAAGGCAGGGCCAAAGGTAGCGTATTCTGAGCGGTAACAGCAGTTCCGTGAGACATACTGATTAAAGACTGACTGCAGTAAGACCTTCCCTATTCCCGATCCACAGGGTGCTTCAGGCAGTGATGGACCCCCAGGTCCAGCTGGTGAAAGGGTATGAGCTCTTACTTAATATAATAGCAGTAAAGCACACTATACCAGGTCAAAATAGCCAGCAGTTCATCCCTAATATCAATGTTTTCTTTTTCAGGGCCTTCCAGGACCTCAGGGTCCAACTGGATTCCCTGGACCAAAGGGCCCACCTGTAAGTTCAGAAGTATATAGCGAATTACCTCTTGCATTTTTTGTCAGCATTTTCAAGCATATTTTCCATTCTTGTTCCCCTTTAAGGGTCCAGCCGGGAAAGATGGATTGCCAGGGCATCCTGGGCAGAGGGGTGAAACGGTCAGTGCTACATTCTATCAGAAATTGGCTGCTTATGCCTGAGTCTAGATGCCCTTACTTCTCTTTGGTGGGGAGATGTTAGATCCCTACTTATGCCTCAGTACAGATATCCTTACTGTTATTTTGGATGGTTCTTCTCTTTCCACAGGGCTTCCAAGGCAAGACGGGACCTCCTGGTCCTCCTGGTGTGGTGGGCCCTCAGGTCAGTTACATATATATGACTCCTACATTGCCGTGGATCTTAACAATGAGATTCTTTTAAATGCATACATTTTCAAACAAACAAATATTGCCCCCCATGAATAAAGGGATAAAATACATTATATGTATGGCTTGATTTGCAAATAAAATTCAATAATATTAGTTTTTAGTTTCCTGGGTATCTCGTATTTTGATTTAATGCACTACCTTGAATGGACTACCTTGAATTGGATGGACTACCTTGAATTCCTTTCAGTATTGTTATTGGTGTATTGCATGTACAATAAATCTATTCTTTTATCACTAATAAAACACGATAAACATATGTCACAGACAAGTAGCACATATTGAGTATTGACTAACCTTTTTGGACTAAATTCCATTTAAAAGCTTCATTGTTTTGCATTTTCAAATTGCAAATGCAGGGTCCTACAGGAGAGACTGGGCCAATGGGAGAACGTGGCCATCCGGGGCCTCCGGGTCCGCCTGGAGAACAGGGCCTACCTGGAGCCGCCGGCAAAGAGGGGGCCAAGGTGAGCTGACATCGTTTTAGTCGAGTCCTCTGGCACATCTGCCATGTTGTGAGGTGCCGTATTGGGGCTCATCTCTTATGGAGGTTTCTTCGGCTCCGTAGGGTGACCCCGGCCCGGCAGGCCCTGCTGGTAAAGATGGTCCACCGGGCCTGCGAGGATTTCCAGGAGAGCGAGGCCATCCTGGTCCTGTCGTAAGTACATTTTTATTTTTATTTGTAAAGTTATTTTAAAGTTTATTTTTAATGCTACATTTATTTAAAAATACAATAACAAAGTATATCGATTAGTAAATAGATGTGAATGAATATAGGACCTCATGTGTCCTTTTTAATGGGAATTCATAATCTCCTTTCGGAAAGAAAGGTGATCTTCCAGACTTAGCCATTCACCAGGTTCCTCGGTGTAATGCACTACAGCACATATCTGTAACCAGTGAGGCTCCTATGTGAGGCTGTGTATGGACGAAATAGATTTTAAGTGCTTATTTTCCCTCCCATTGCAGGGAGCTCCTGGTTTGAAGGGCACTGAAGGCCCCCATGGCCCGCCTGGACCTGCTGTATGTACACACCGATGCTTCCCCTCCCCTGTCTCACGCATGCTCTATACATGTCCAGCTTGACAGTGCTTTTTTTGTGCAGGGTTCCCCAGGTGAACGAGGTCCTGCTGGCTCCGCTGGACCGACTGGCCTCCCGGGACGTCCAGGACCACAAGGCCCCCCAGGTCCGGCTGGAGAGAAAGGTGGACCTGTGGGTATTGGTTCTGCTTCAGTACAAAGTCTAAATCTCACTTGAATAGTGTGATGTCTGATCTTATATATTTTTTCTAGCACCTAAATACATTTTATGTTTTTCCAAGTTAAATTGTGCACATTGTAATGCCTGTAATGTACAAATTTTATTTTTAGACTTGGATAACACTCCCCGCGGCACCTTTATACTCTATCCAATATGTCCATCTAATTTCCATCACAGCAGGAGGGAGTCGTATCTGAGATACCTGTTCTCTCTTACAGGGAGAGAAAGGACCTCAAGGTCCAGCTGGGAGAGATGGTATCCAGGGTCCCGTGGGCCTGCCAGGCCCCGCTGGTCCTGTTGGGCCTCCTGGAGAAGATGGGGACAAGGTACCCTAAGAATGGTTGTGACTGAGTGGGCTGTGCACAGTCACCTGAGTAAATGATAAATCACAACACCTTCCTTAGTTCTCTAACTTATTGTTTGACAACGACATAAAAACAAAACGCCTATCGCCTATTTAAGTAATACATCTAACATAAATTTTATCTTCATTTTGAATACATACTGTATAAGAATGTCATTTATATCAGGTAAAATTTAAAATTGTTCCGGAGACCCAGATATACAGTAATATTGCATCATTCTGTTTCATCTGCACTCCTGGGCAAAAAAAATGGGCCAAACCCAACAACTGCGAATTATCTAGCTTCTGTGGTCTCACAGCGAACAGCCAGAAGATATTTTGGAAAATTTGTTAGTTTGAGTTTTATATCAAACATTTAAATCTTTTCATGATTTTATCTCTGCATACAAGGAGACCGTGTAAGTGAATTTTACTGTTTCCAACTTCTCCCACAGCAGTTCACTGCAGAGGCAAGCAGTGACGGGCCAATGGCTCCACAGGTCTCGGGAGTGCAGTCTTTTAGTTCTCCCACAGCAGTTCACTGCAGCAGCAAGCAGTGACGGGCCAGTGGCTCCACAGGTCTCGGGAGTGCAGTCTTTTAGTTCTTGCTCATTATCTGACCAATGATTTGTTTTTAAGACCTTTAAAAGCTTAATTTTTGGCAGTTTTTGATTTGCTGCTTTTTTTTGCCGATGAGTGTAAGAATAAGAGCAGCGCATCACTTTCCATGCGGCCCTTAGTGTGATGGTGCATGATGCATGCAGGGGGATGGAGATATGAGCGCAACTCTTAACAGCCTTGGTTCCCTGTAGAAAATGTATCCTTATGGATGTAATATAAAAGCATATCTCCCAAATTACATATAAACGCATTAGACCTTAAATGTAAGATTATGACTTGGTCATTAATAATATTCATTTTTATGTCCTTCTTTACATAATATTACTTAGCAGTAGGATCACTTGTTAGCTGTCCTATTAAATCATGTACATAATTTATATTCATTGCAAATATTGTCATTTGTCCCGTAGACATCTTTGAAAATGAGTCATGATATTATTAAAAATTCACATTTTATGTTCCTCTAGCAGGAGAATAAGCATAAAAAGTCAATCTGTTACTCCTGTAATGGGTGACTAGCCTGTACATTAAATTTCCACTAGGGGGAAATTGGTGAGCCTGGACAGAAAGGAGGTAAAGGCGACAAAGGAGAATATGTGAGTGTGTTTCGTTTCATTGGAAATGTTGTGTTTCATTCGCCACTAAGTGCTGTTCAGGCTGACATGACCCTGGTCTGGTTCTCACATTCAGGGTCCTCCTGGCCCCATTGGACCTCAAGGCCCCATAGGACAACCCGGACCTCCTGTAAGTTTCTCTGATGATCACCGACTGTGTGAAACCCAATCCGCTCCTACCTGCTGGCCATCGCTCCCTTTCTCTGCGCCCTTCATGCCGGTCCGTTTGCTTTTCAGGGAGCTGACGGCGAGCCTGGGCCGCGAGGACAGCAGGGACTCTTTGGCCAGAAGGGAGATGAGGGACCCAGAGGATTCCCGGGGCCTCCAGGGCCGGTCGGCCTGCAGGTCAGTAGATCCTACAACTAGCAGTATGTTTTGGATTAAATACACAATATTATATTTAAAAAAAATATGTACATTATTTGTGTGTGGAAGGAAATGCTTGTAATGAAAAAATTCATCTTGTAAAAACAGGGCCTACCTGGGCCCCCAGGTGAAAAGGGTGAAACTGGAGATGTTGGTCAATTGGTAAGATTCACTTTGGTGTTTTTAGTCATAGTTGGATATAACTTCTTAACCTTAAGGCCGAAAGCCACCCCAAAAATCTGATCTATGCACTATCCCTGCCAGGGTCCACCAGGACCACCGGGCCCGAGAGGCCCTTCAGGACCCCCAGGAGCAGACGGCTCCCAGGGCCCCCCCGGTGGCATCGGCAACCCGGGACCTGTAGGAGAAAAAGTGAGTATGCGTCTAAAACTCACGCTTTCCACACAAATCCCCAGCCAGCATTAATATCTGCAATTAAGCCGTAAGGGCTAGAGTCTGTAGGAGCTTATGTGAGCTTGAGATTTGAAAGTCTGTATGCAGCTAGCATGCAAAGTCACTTTTAAAGAAAATATTCCTACCGGTGTGGCTATTATTTGCAGAGAAACTGTGGTTTAATTCCCCCTTTCCATTCTAAACCACTGAGATGACATAACATCTGCACAGGTGAATAACTACAGGAGAATAACATCATATTAACATTTTTTAATACCACCATTTACTAATAATTGTTGTGTGTATAATTATTAAATCATTCATCATTAAATGTTCAGTTGTTTAGCAAGTCAGTAGAGTAAGATTAATAAATTTTGCTCATTTGATACTATGTACACTGGACCATGAATCAATCAATTAATTAGATGACTAGCTGGTTTAAACAAGACATTTACACAAACCAAGACTGAGTCACCATATTGTAGCATCACGTTACATCATATAATGTAATACTCATTCATTGTCTTTCACTATTACTGTGTGTGTGTGTGTGTGTGTGCGTGCATGTGTGGCCGCCATGTTGTCATTACAAATAGTATTTTTCTTATTAAGTATTTAAAAAGACAAAATCAAAAGGATATCAAATGAGCGTGACGTTAGCTTCACGGACAGTTAGTCCTAAGTGCACTAAAAATGTGCTTAAAACATCTTTTTACGGCACCCCTGACAGAAACCAATTTATGTGACAGTGAAAAATGCAGGGTGCCAAATGCAAGCCCTGGATAAATGCAGCAGCAAAAGATTTATGTTGCTGGGCCAAGTCCATAAAGGTGACATTTTATTTCTGTGCAGGAGCACCCTGAAACCTCTTGTAGCTTTTTATTTTTTATTTTTGAAGGGACATGGATAACATTGAGTCTTTGTGATTGGATGTCCTGTCCTATCGTATATGCTGAGTGACTGTGCTGAGTTAATTTATGCATACAAGACGTACAATCATATTCCCTCTGCCTTTTTCACAGGGGGAGGCTGGTGAAGCAGGAGAGCCTGGACTTCCAGGGGATAATGGGCCACCAGTACGACAACATCTCAGAATAATCTATTTCATTTTTGGATTCTGACATAGCGGGGCCAACACTGTCTTCTGTTAGCATATAGCCCAAAAGAATTTTTACACCTAGAAACCAAGACATCAAGGTGTAATATAGGGGTAGGGATACAACCCAGACATGATTTCAAAAAAGCACATGGTGGCAGCACATCAAGGTCACATACATTAAGCATTTTTTTAGTTACATTTGCATCTCAGCAGCATTTGCTACTAGCTAGAAACTGTTACCAGTTTAATATCCATCCACCTTCAGAAATGAAGAGAACGTTCAAACTCTACACACAGCAGCAGTGTTACTTGAACCGCCAGCTTCGGAAGTGTGAGGCAACAGCACTAATCACTGCGCCTGCATGTCACCCATCATAGTTTAACACATATAAAATTTGTACTTGTGCTACATTAGGGAATTTAAGTAAAAACGAAAAACCCAAAATACTGAAGCTAAGCTGTCAGTGAAGGCAACCTAAAGCACCACTAACAGTGACATATTTGAGGAAGCTTAGTAACAATATGCGAGGAAGCTTAGTAACGTTATGTGAGGAAGCTTAGTAACGTTATGTGAGGAAGCTTAGTAACGTTATGTGAGGAAGCTTAGAAACGATATGTGAGGATGCTTAGTAAAGCTTTGTGAGGAAGCTTAGTAACGTTATGTGAGGAAGCTTAGTAACGTTATGTGAGGAAGCTTAGTAACGATATTTGAGGAAGCCTAATAACATTATGTGAGGAAGCTTAGTAACGATATCTGAGGAAGCTTAGTCATTATGTGAGAAAGCTTAGTAACGATATTTGAGGAAGCTTAATAACATTATGTGAGGAAGCTTAGTAATGAGAGTGATGTTTCACAGTGATCTCAGCAGGGACCAGATTTATTTGGGGGTTTCCTTTACTGGAGTAGTAATGAAATAGGCCAACAAAAGCTGACTAAACAGGCATAAAAATGCAATCTAGGCAAACCATTATGATTGATTCCTCTCCATCCTGAGATGTTCTCACGGTGTCATAGTCTTTGTGGTCCCAGTACAGTATATGGTAATATCATTATCACTTTGTAAACGGTACTTTTGAGGACTGAGAATGCATCTGTCTTAGGGCCCTAGAGGTGAGCGAGGAGAGAAGGGTGAAGCTGGCCCTGCTGGTTCTCCTGGACCTTCAGGTCCTAAAGGTCCTCCTGGAGATGATGGTCCCAAAGGTAGCCCTGTAAGTACAAGGCCAATTATAAACAAAGTCATAGTAGTCAGATGGTTTCTTGGCCCTAACTATGTGTATTGGTTTAATGAGAAGACAATATGTGCATATTTATGGACATGTATTGGTTTAATGAGAAGATGATATCTACATATCTATGGACATGCATTGGTTTAATGAGAAGATGATATCTACATGTCTATGGACATGCATTGGTTTAATGAGAAGATGATATCTACATATCTATGGACATGTATTGGTTTAATGAGAAGGTGATATCTACATATCTATGGACATGTATTGGTTTAATGAGAAGGTGATATCTATCTATCTGCCGGCCCCTGGAGGATGGGCTCCCCCTTTGGGTCTGGTTCCTCCCAAGGTTTCTTCCTCTTAGGGAGTTTTTCCTTGCCACCGTTGCCTTTGGCTTACTCACTGGGGGGTCCTTACGAGGCAGAAATGTAAAGCGCATTGAGGCAATGTAATGTTGTGATAATGCGCTATATAAATAAAATTGAATTGAATTGAATTGAAAATCAACATATCTATGGACATGTATTGGTTGAATGAGAAGATGATATCTACATATCTATGGACATGTATTGGTTTAATGAGAAGGTGATATCTACATATCTATGGACATGTATTGGTTGAATGAGAAGATGATATCTACATATTTATGGACATGTATTGGTTTAATGAGAAGGTGATATCTACATATCTATGGACATGTATTGGTTTAATGAGAAGGTGATATCTACATGTCTATGGACATGCATTGGTTTAATGAGAAGGTGATTTCTACATATTTATGGACATGTATTGGTTTAATGAGAAGGTGATATCTACATATTTATGGACATGCCACAGGCGGCAGGTATATTGGGTCATTTTTGTGCTTAATAAATTGTATTATAAGTGTTGAACAAGTAGAAAAATGCTATCAACCAAACTAAAACCATTTTAGTTACACTGTCAATTTATTAATAGCGAAAATAGGAGAGATACAAGTCCATCTATAATTTATTTTTTTAGGGTCCAACTGGTTTCCCTGGAGATCCTGGTCCCCCTGGAGAACCTGGTATTCCTGTGAGTTTATATTCAATAAGACAAAACTGGCATTATTGCCAGACAATATTCATCTGTTAAATACTGTACAAACTATATACTGTGGTTATACTGTGCATCTTTGTCACATTTCCTGTGACCTTTCAACCCCAGGGACAAGATGGCCCCGCTGGAGATAAAGGAGACGACGGGGAGGCTGGTCAGCCAGTAAGGATGCTTCAAAGTCTTGTCTGAGACCCAGTTTATGTATTTTTTAAGACTAAATATTATTTCCTTGTTCATTAGGGCTCTCCTGGGCCTACCGGCGAATCTGGACCTACTGGTCCGCCTGGGAAAAGAGTAAGTCCTTTCATAGTATTGTTTTTACTCCTTCTTCTCCCCTGTGTCATTGAGGGCTTTACAAACTAAACTGCACCCTGGCCTTCCCTCGCAGGGTCCCCCCGGGGCTATTGGACCTGAGGGAAGACAAGGCGAAAAAGGAGCCAAGGTAAGTGAAGCAGGCCCATCTGCAAACACCTTACTTCACTGGCATCTCCCACGCTGCCACCATGTGTCCTAAAAGTGTCAGAGCATTCTTTGCCTCAGTAACAAAGTATTGTGATGTTTTTGCACAGGGTGAGTCTGGTCTGGAAGGCCCACAAGGCAAGACAGGCCCAGTAGGTCCACAAGGAGCTCCTGGCAAACCGGGATCTGAAGGTCTTCGGGGAAATCCTGGCCCAGTTGTAAGTATTCTTTTTATTGGTAACTGTCTGTGTAATATGGTGAATATGCTTTTATGGTTTCATATATACAGTGGTACCTCAGTTCTCAAACTCATTAGAACTTGAATTTCTTAAAAGTCAAACCAACCAGTTTGAAAAAAAAATTACCTAGAGCTCGATCTGAATCTCAGAAGTCAAACCGTGAACGCCGACCTAAGATAACTCGTACGCGCGGGGAAATGAGTCACGCGGCACGTCTCCCAGCGGAAACAAAGGGTAACGCTTCAGTCTCAGCCTCGCATTCGCTGTGACAGCATCATGCATGTTTACACTAGCTGAATACATATATTTAGACAGTAAAAATACATTTAGACAACGATAGACAGTAACAGTAATTACTATATAATAAAATACATTTAAAAATAAAGATTTCTTATTCATTATTTTAATATTAATAATAAACCATTAATACATTTAATTATAATAATATTGTTGTGCCGAGCGGGGACGGAATGGAGACAAAGGCGCAGACGTCAGGGTATCGGGGAATACGGGGTTTAATTACAGGTATGGCAGGCATAACGCAATACAATGACCAAACTGAAACGCGGACGAAATACAGAGAGCTAATGAAAACAACCAGAAACAGCTGATTACACGGGGATTCCACACGGGGATAATGAGGGGGCGTGGCACACGGAAGCAGTGGACAATCGGGGCAGGACACATTGTTTGGATACATTTATTTTCTTACTTTACAAATTACTGTTTTAATAAATGTGCTTAGATGTGTTTAGTACAGTACATGTTCTTCTTGTTTTATCCGGTTCATATTGTGTTTAAATGCTAAAAAAACATATTTAGGTGTAATTTTTTGGGGTTGGGAACCAATTAATTGGTTTTCCATTATTTCTTATTGGGAAAATTCGATCAGAACTCGAACTTTTTAGGATTTGATCCGGAGTTCTGAATGGATTAAATTCGAGTTAGGTACCACTGTATATAGATAATATTTTCATACTGAGCTTAAAAAAAATAATTAATTGGTCTTTTCTAGGGAGAGCAAGGTCTTCCAGGCTCAACTGGACCAGCGGGACCACCTGGACCCATGGTACGGAGAATTACCCTTAAACTTAATTAAACTAGTTTGTCATGGTTACATTTGCTGAGATTACATTCTCTTTAATTGTATATCCTTAGGGACCCCCTGGATTACCTGGTTTGAAAGGTGACTCTGGTGTTAAAGGTGAAAAGGTAGGGCAAGCTGATATTCCCAGCATTATGTTTGTTATAATTAATAATCATTAAAAAGAATCCAAAACTGGGGCATTCACTGGAAGCTTGGCCAGCCTAGCCGCACTGAAGCCTAGCCACTGTTTGTAGTGTGCTATCAGTCTAACTAGTTGCGAAAGAGTTAAACATGTAAATATGTAAAATGGACATGTAAATATATAAATGAACCCTTAACCATTTCCTTAAATGTAATTTACAGCGTTGAGTACATTCCTGAAAAGGGTGTTGTAAGACTGTGCTTGTTATTTGATTTTCTAATGTAGGGTCATCCTGGTCTGATTGGCCTGATCGGGCCCCCAGGAGAGCAGGGAGAGAAAGGCGATCGGGGCCTTCCTGGTCCTCAGGGAACAGCGGGTCTGAAAGGCGACACTGTATGTCATCCATTTTTCACGAATGTATATTATGGTGTAAAACAGCATGTGCAGCTCTCACTGTAACAGCTTTAACCTGCTCTTCTCACAGGGTATCGCTGGTCCCTCTGGGCCTCTTGGCCCCATTGGACCGCCAGGATTACCGGTAAGTGTACCATATAGATGTGATATGTGTTATATGTACTTGTAGTCAGCTAGACCTGCCACCCAATATCTTTCTGCACCATTTCTATTTATAGAAAGAAATTAAGCACAATAAATGTCTCTGTAAACCTAGAAGAATAAATCATACTGACATGAGTTTTACTACAACCGAAATGCTGAGAGCTACAAGTCTTTGACAAACTGGGAAGCATCCAAGCAATCCAAACCTTATACATCATTCCATCTGCACCAGATCTGACATAACATTACATTCATCCCTTCACAATGTAAGATAAGGGTGGATAGAGCCGAAGCCAAGAGATAAGATTAAGTTCATTGTTTTCTTCCACCATTGATTTTTCTTTTTTATATATATATATATATATATATATATTAGCCCAGTTTTGTTGAATGTCCATCCTGTTATATCAACTTAATTCTTTTAATGAAAGAAAAAATAACCAATAGTAATAGTAAAGAAACAATTGCAGATGATCAAATGACACTGGAAGTTTGCAACAGACTTGTCAATAAAAATTAATATTCAGCTTCAAAATGACATGATGTATTATTTGTTTTTCGATTACAGGGGCCCGCAGGTCCAAAAGGTGCCAAGGGTTCGACTGTACGTACCGCACTAACAAAGTGGTGATAAATCAAACACTAAGGAGAGCCAGCAGTTTTTAGCTATAATGTAGATGTTTTTGTTTAATTAGTGTTTATATGTTTTTTCAAAGCATTTGCAAAGTTCCAGTCTAAGGATCCTTTTGTTTTTTCCTTTGTTTAGGGTCAAACTGGTCCTAAAGGTGAAAGTGGTACTCCTGGACCACCAGGCCCTCCAGTAAGTCAGTGATAATGTGTGGACATTTTTTTTTAGCATGAAGTTGAAGTAAACATCTGCCTCCATTAAGCTTCCCGGTATGGTCACCGCATTGTGACTGAAACCTCATTAAAGAAGATAGTTGGAATGTGTATCTTTCCCCATTCATTTTTACATAAAAAAAAAACTGCTATTCCTTCGTACAGGGCCCTCCCGGAGATGTCATCCACCCCCTGCCCATCCAGTCCAGCCCCAAGAGAAGCAGGAGGAATATTGATGGCAGCCAGCTGATGGACGACCCCAAAGCTGACGGATACAAAGACTATGATGACGGCATGGAGGAGATCTTCGGCTCTCTCAACTCACTCAAGCTGGAGATTGAGCAGATGAAGCACCCACTGGGCACGCAGAATAATCCCGCCCGGACCTGTAAAGACCTGCAGTTGTGCCATCCTGATTTCCCTGATGGTGTGTTATGATCTTAACACCACTATGCTTTGCCATTTTCTGCGCGCAGTTTATTTAACTCACATTAAGCCACTGCACTCCCTGCGTGATGGTTAGGAGCTGCAAACAGCCTATGCCAGTCCATATTTTTTCTTAATTTAGAAGTACTTTTATACCTGTTTCTTTGATGTTGTCAAATGTACTTTCACGTATGTGAATAACAGAAGTCACTGGATTTTGGGGTCTGTCATTTCAGGGGAATACTGGATTGACCCGAATCAGGGCTGCGCTCGTGATGCTTTCAAGGTTTATTGCAATTTCACAGCTGGTGGAGAAAGCTGCATCTATCCAGACAAGAAGTCTGAAGGAGTAAGTCATTGTGGCATATGTGGGGGAGGGAGGGGGGGCACTGATAGGCATAGCTTAATGTACGGCTGTAATCTGAAGTGTGGGGGCACTGGCACCACAGATACCCCAACATGCATAGAACTTCACAGCGTGTCAGCATGAAGAAGCACACATGGCCCAAACTCTTCACTACAACACCAGCATTCATCTATAACTCTGCTGGCCGGCTGATGGGGCCCATCACTGTTTGGTCACATCCGATTTCCATGTCGCACTCGACTGACTGCAGAGTCTCTCCTTCTCTTTGAAGGCAGGCTGCTCTCATCCATTACACTCCCCGCTAGGCCCAGTGGTCTCTTTACTCAGTACAGGTCCATAGTATCTGCATCACAGGTCCTGGTCACCGGAGGAAAAGCACACAAAAGCTCACTGACGGCAAGCAGCAGCTTGGCGCCGTGGCAGTTCTGAAGCAGCCGGGCCAGATAAGCCGGAGGCTTTACCACAAGCTTCCTAGAATGAGGAAATAATATACTCTACATTTCAGCATAGCAGAGTGTCCAGCCCTAAGGACAGAGCCCAGACTGAGACCATGCAGTACTGCCGGCTCACGCAGGGGAGGCGTGTCCACAATAAGCGGGACAAAGACGTCTGCTCTTAACGATCATTATATCGATAGTCGTCCATCTATTTTCTAACCACAGGGTCAAGGAGACACGCACACAATCATATAATGCAGGCAGGTTAGAAATGTCCAGTAACCTAGCCGAATGTCTTTGACTGTAATCATAATTTACAAACCAACCAAAAAGAAACATCAACAGCTGTGTATTAAAATATTATGGTTAATGACAAATTTAAATCTAATGACAGAAATGAATCTGAAATAGTTCATTCTGACAAATTGCATGAAAGTATTTCCATTAAGTGTATCACAGTCTCTTTATATTCTCTTTTTGCCTCAACATTGATATTACTTTTTATTTTTTTACAAATTGCTAAGCCACAGATTCTGAATATGTGTTTTGAAGTGTACAAAATCTTGCAAGGAGACAACATTTAAATCATGAAGCACCATAGCAATTAGCTCTGACTCTGTGTTTCAGCATTTTTCTTACATCTGACAGCAGAGCAGTAACACTCAAAATAACGAGAGCTAGATCTCAGCTTGTGGTATATTTATGGTCTTATGAAGCTGAAGCTCAATGGGGACTGACGAGTACTATCCTCATAACTCGTAAACGATGTGGCCCTTTTTGGGGGTGGAGAATGAGCTGTACTTGATGCTCGATCTGAGCGGGATGAAACACGCTGGGTGCATCGCGAGGGCGTATCATTTGTATTTGTCATGCCTCTGCTGGGCATTCAGATTTGGAAAATGAGGCCTAAGTTACTTCTTACAAAATCCCCAGGCTCCCTCTAAAGTGAGCTTGCGTCTCTATTGGATGCGTAGCTTGTCTGGTATATTCATAGACGGTGTCCCCAGCACGTGTCTCTCTGCTGTAAATGGTCTTACCCTTAAGCTCCACAGCCCCTTGAGGACGTTACTGTTTTTAACAAGCGTTCTTTCCCTTTCTGTCCCGCCCCATATGCCAGGCTAGACTCACTTCCTGGGCAAAGGAGGTTCCCGGGTCCTGGTTCAGTGAATTCAAACGTGGTAAACTGGTAAGCCCTTCCTTGCTCATTTCTTACCCTTTATTTAACAGCCTTTATATTTTACAGAGTAAAATGGCCCGTTGGCCCAAAGACACGCCAGGCACTTGGTATAGTCGGTACAAGCGAGGCTCCCTGGTAAGTTGCACGCCATGGCCGGGGGGCGGACCCAGGCCTTCAGCACTGCACGCCGCTGACGCCTGCGCTGCTCCTGCCAGAAAGATCTCACCGCCGCTCGCCTGCAGTCAAACAGCAAAGCTGTGTCTTCCACTAAAATGAAAAGTGGGAACAGAGCATTCAAATCCACATTGGCAGGGGACAACTTACAGAAACTCAGGCCCTGTTTACCCTTGGTTTTAAATGCATGCCGGGCGATCAGATCACAAGTAAACAATAGTGTAAACACCTGCCATGACGCATTGTGATCGGATCGATCAACCCGCATTTGACCCCATATCTTCTGTAGCGTAAATGCTAATGCATCTGGATGCGTCCCCAACAAGGACGTCACAATAACTGCACACAAGAGCACTAAAGAAACCTGAACACAGGTGGTCAGCTGGACACCTTGGAGACACAAGTTAGACACAGGTATAAACGGCGCTGAGTCTCAGCTGTCCACTTGTCATCCGATCACCCAAGATGCATTTTAACGCCGAGTTTAAACAGGGCCTCAGAAACCAGGATTTCAGACATTTCTTTTCTGTCCCTGAGTTCAGACTTGACCTAAATTAATGTTTTCTAAGGCTTTTTTGGTGTTTCAGTAAACTGTCCATTTGAATGCGACTGATTAACCACGATTCATAGGAGAAGACATTACCTGAAAGTGACTCAGTGCCTGTTTTAGTACCGCCCTTGTGAATTAACATTAACATTCACCTTTTATCTACATCAGTAGCCAAAATTGTGGATGCCAATTTTTAGAGATTGCAGAACTTTATTCCAGTTACTCCAATTACTTATTTAATCGTCCAGTGTGTGATATTCGTAAACACTCTTTGATTGTTTATAAACATTACCACCAATATCCGTGTAGTAGTATTGCCAAAAGTGCTTGGTGTTTCCACAATTTTGGCCACAAGTGTAGGTCATTCTTAGTGAATAGCACAGTCCTCTGGCTACAGTCTCCAGGAAAGGTGAAATAAAACATCAAGATGTGACAACCAAGCCATTTAAATGCAGTCAGGCTATGTGAAAATCGAGGCAATCGAATGGCATACTTTTATTCTGTTATCAAAGGCACTCAATCACTGAACAGGGGCTTTTGGGTTCTTAGTCACACTTGCGGCTGAACTGGAGAGGTAATGTGTCCTTTGACATGACGTTGGTCATGGGTTTGGCTGATGGCAGGAAGCTCAGGCTTTGGGCCTCTCTCCATTGCCTGTGCATCATGGCTTACTGGAGGGCACCACTGCTCCGCACCACTGTACAGACAAGGCAAATGGACAACAGGCACAAATGGATAATTCCAGTGTAACTTTAACCAGCACTGTCAATGCATTCAGGCCAAGCAGTTTATAGTATAATTTGACATGAGTTCTCCATTTGGGTGTCTGTCCATGGTATTTAGCTCTTGTATGTCCTATCAGCAGAAATGCATGCGCTTATGTCTCAGTAAGTCCTGTTTTTCTGAAAGAAGAAAAGCCTTTGGAACTGAAGACACCAGACTGGTTGGTATAGATACTGATTTCCCTGATACAGATATAACATTTCGTACACAGGGTATAAAAAAGCGTTTGGCAAATCTAAATGCTGACGCTCATGCAGATCATGAGAAGAAGTTCTTATATTCAGTATTCAATAAAAATGTAGAGTATTAAAATAAATTCATCAGAAGTGCGTTTATATTGGTTATCTTTTAAATGCTTTTACATACCACTGTATGTCAATACAGAGTAGCCACAAACTCCCAGGGCGCTCACAGAGTATTAGCAGGCGCCAGATTTATCTGTATAAATTTTACTGTAAAAATCTTGTTAAAAAAGTAATGTTTAAATTCCTGCTGTTTTCATCCACTATACATTTTGTTTATTATTTTTCAAATTTGTTAGACAGCGATCTCGTTAATATAAAAGTAGCCATTTTTTCTCAAGCACAGTATTTCTCAGTACAATGACTTCAAAACTTATTAATATTAATAAATATTAATGTCGTATTTAAAAAGAATGAAAACAATCATTCCATGTCTTTTTCCATAAAAATCGTCACTACGAATTTCAGTAAAATTTAACCCCAACCAGAGGGAATATACCCCTGATATGTGTTGCCAAAGTCTGACTGGCAGTTTGTCACAGGATAGGGAAGCCTTGGTGTCCCTAACCTCACAATCGTCCCCCTCTAGACTCTTTTTCTGCCATGTATATCGTTAAACAGCTATCCTACGCCGATGCGGAGGGCAACCCCATCGGGGTCGTCCAGATGACCTTCCTGCGGCTGCTGAGTGCCGCTGCTCGGCAGAACCTCACCTACAACTGCTACCAGTCGGTGGCCTGGCACGACTCGGAGCTCCACAGCTACGATAAGGCCATCCGCTTCCTGGGCTCGAACGACGAGGAGATGTCGCATGACAACAACCCCTACATCCGTGCCGTGGTGGACGGCTGCACAGTGAGTATCCAAAACACAATGGTGCTTCCATTGGTAAGGAACAATCCCAGCAAGCAACCATCAGTTATACATTAAATCCAGCATAATGTGTACTATACAGTTAAGAGTATAAAGTTTTAATCTGCTAGTCTGTCTTGGTTATAATAATGATGGAATAAAATAAAAAAATAAAGAATAGTATCCAGAGACCCAAAGGAGAATTTTACTTTTTGTTTTTTTGGTGTAAAATATATGCTATAGTTCAGTAGCTAGCAGCCTGGATGAGATATTTTTTGGTGTGTTCTCGAGAGCTTCGTTCTCCAGACACCAGAGCTCATTCGTTTCATGAGTTGCAAGTAACCATCGGTCCCTTCTTCCTGTCTTTCTGTTTTTCCAGTTGAAAAAGGGTTATGAAAAGACTGTACTTGAGATCAACACGCCAAAGGTGGAACAGGTGCCATTTGTTGACATCATGTTCAGTGATTTTGGTGGAGCCTCACAGAAGTTTGGATTTGAAGTGGGTCCTGTCTGCTTCATCGGATGAGACACTGTTCCAGGAAATTCTATATATATAATTAAAACAAATTGACTAAACTAAAGTGAACAGCACGACATCTCACATCTGTAAAACATTGTCTCCAAAAAAAAAAAACATCAAGACAAGGAAATAAATATTCAATAAAAGAATAAAAACAGCAACCTTGCAACCTCAGTCTGCCTTCTCCATCACACACAGGTTTTGAAACTGAAGGAGTCAGTTGTTCGCTAACCACTTGATTCCCTGTGCCCTGCCTTCCTTTCTGTGCCTGTGTCTCTGCCTGTGTCTCGGCAAACTCTGTGGTACCGCTCAGGTTGCTCTGAAGCATTAAGAAAACTCTGGTGTGACTGGGACTCTCACTAATCTCTATCTTAACATTCCGGTTTTCCTTCTGATTTCAGTTTCCATGCTTCATTTTGTCCATATGGCTGCCTGTTCTTTGCAATGGTGCTTACATATAAAATATTATATAGAAATATAATAAATTTTGTTTGGTATGTTTGTAAGTACGTTTTGTATATTTTTTTCCTGGAAATGTATATTGATTCTAGCTTCAAAACATGCATGTGGGTACCTTTTACTAAGCGTGAGATAACGACAAAACAGAAAATGAAAGGGACGGCTTTTGATGTATAAAAAGCAGGGTGCCTAGCAAAACTTTATCTGAAAAACGCCAAAGCTCACAAAGTACACAATGCTGTAGTCTGAGCATTGATTTCCTATTTAAATGAAAAGAAGTTTGGGTTTGTTTTCCTCTGTGATTTTTTTTTTTAATTTCAATTGGTTGTAGAATTCAGTTAAAACTTCCCCTTTTCCAGCACATCCATATTTATCCTCTGAAAATATTCATAAGGCGAGATTGCATCAAAATGGCATTAAAAAGGGATACCGGTGCTATTTTAATGTTTGTTTAAAGGTGCTCAGTATTTACACTTTAATTCTGAAGTAAAACACTGCTGATCAGTCTCCTAAAAAGCTTTCAGATCTTATCCCCGTAATAATGGCATTTCTTGCATTTATAAAATCTTTGATTATTGTATCATGCATAATAACAGTGTTCTTTCATCCATCCATCCATCCATTCATCCATCCATCTTCTGACCGCTTATCCTGAGCAAGGTCACAGGGGGACATGAAGCCCATCATAGGCAGCACAGGGCACAGAACAGGGGTACTGTACATCCTGGATGGGATGCCAGTAGAAAAATGTATGTACTTTTTAATGAACCCTTTAATGAAAAGGCGTCTGAAATTGCAATATTGGACCATGGGGGGAAAAAAGCAGATCAGAAAAGTGTCCTGAATATGGTGCTAATTTATGTTACAGTTGGGGGCAAATGAGATATGTTTTCTGTATCGTGATTTTGTATGTTATGAGTTTTTTTGTATATGGATCTCAGTGAGAACTGTGTATGCAAAGATCTATCTACACACACAGGTGTCCAGCGTAGGCGAGTCTATGGGTCATTACTTTCACTTGAAGTTTTAAAACACTGCTGGAAACTTCACATGTGAGTTTTCTGTTCTGTGACAATCGGCTAGAATTCCAAAGTAGCTGGCAGAAAAAGATGAAGTCAATTGCTTGTAAACAGAAATCCTTGCTTGACATAACTAGTGACCTAAATAGCTGTGCTTTGAGGAATTTGAGAACATAGATGGTGATCTTTCCATCAGTTTACAAACAAGGGCTGCATGCAATCTCTCATTTTGCAGGTATTGGGTTCAGTGGCGTGTTTTGATTTTTCCTGGCTTAAAGTTGTACAAATAATAATAAATTATCGGGTATGTATATTACTTAATAAGATTGGGATTCCTAAATTACATTGTAGACTAGCCAGACAAAATAACACCTCTTTTTAAAAAATTAAAAAATAAAATAGTAAATAAAAACTTGCCTGGGGCACGTAATTCTTTTTTATTATTTTTACATTTTTTCATTATTTTGGCCGTTGCTGTAGTGGATTGACATGAGTTTCACTGACAGCAAATCTTGTACTTTCCTTAGACCACTTAGTCTCTACTACATACATGCTTTACTGTTCATGATAAATTACTCTTTTTTTTCTATTTGAATATATGTGACTTGAACCATTTCTATTAAAATACGTTTGTATTAAAACTATGGAATATGTGTATTTTCATGCAGTATGTCATGTTCATTGTTTTCCTGTCAGTAAATTTCTTTTTGAAATCATCACCCATGCTGCCATTTTTAAAACTGTTTCTTTGTTTTTATGGTCTAGTTAAACCTGTGTAAGCACAGAAGAAATTTAGCAGTTTGTCAATAAATTCAAAGTTACTGTGCCCCTTCCACTTTACCGTGTTCCGCTTTTTGTATGTTTATCAAAGCATTAAAATCTGTATGCATGAACTGTAAGTTTTTTTTTTCTTTTCTTGTATTTTGGAATAACATAAAGGAACTATTTTTAAATATTCTAAATGTTTTGAGCTGCTATTTGAGCGAATAAGCATGTTAATTGTGAAAAGTAGCGAGGAAGATATTGTAAGTTGAACCAAACAACTTTTTACTTTGTAGTATATTTATTGTATTATTTAAGAAAATAAATGTAAATTTACAAGAGTAATATTACTGAGAGACCCCCTCTTTATCTGTGACATTTAGAAACTATGCAGTTACCCAAGAGTGTAAGAGTCTTAACTGTAACATTAAGCCAGTGCGTTTTATTGATTATTTCATTGATCACAATTACCCTTTTTGTCTGACTATAACCTGCATAGGACAAATGAGTATGGAAAATGAATGAACGAATGAATTGTTCATTTTTAGCTGTGTGTAATTTTAAGAATTTGAACCTTTAACTAAACTGATTAAACTTAAACTGATTACATTATACATAATACTACATTATTTTATAATTACTGCATGTCATGTAGCCTCATAATATAGAATGACACAGAGGAAAGCACTATGCAGTCCCTGTTCATCCAAAGGTTAGGTAATCTTCTTTATCATCTACAACACATATAGGAAATTTATACACCCTTTAATATTTTGTGAAGTTTGTCTCATTTACATTCTGATATTGAAACATATTGCATCAGATTGCCTGGTGACAAAGGCAATCAACAATAGCCACTGTTAATAAGGTGTGAGGAATTGCATTTATGTTGATGCAAGAGGCTAATTAGCCTCTAGCTGTTTTCACTTGTAATGGCTGTGACTGGAGAATTAAGGGAGTTATGCCTATAAGCTGTCGTTGCTTGGTAATTTGTGGACTGTGACAAGTTTTGGAGCAAAGTTATTGAACACTACAGACCAGGAGATAACTAAGTTTCCATGGCATTGAATAACATTTGGAGCACTCTCAAGATCATCATTAAGAAGCAGAGGCCACATGGAACCACTAAGATCTTGCCTGGCTCATATTCCAATGCCTGGATGAACGATCAGAAGGCTGATCAGAGTGGCCACCAAGAATCCAGTGGCCACACTGAAAGCTGCACCCTTTCATCAGACAATGTTCAGTTTGTTACAGCAATATGGGGAGCTTGTGCAAATCTGGGATCTATGGGTCATTGTTGATAAGAAAGACCTCTCCTCCAAAAAGGCCATATTGAAGGTCCTGTAAGATATATATATATATATAAACAACGTAACATAGTGCTTTTTGTTCTCAGTGTAAAAAAGTATGAATAACACAACATCCTTACTGTAACTCTTGGTTGTGTCAGAATCAGTTATTTATGTGGATGTTTCTCTTCAAAAGGTGCCAGAAGGAGTAGCTGAGAGGGTAGAAGTGAACTTGGATTATGCCGAAAACAGAGATGTGTGGAACTGGCCAAGTTAATGCTCTGACCCCAGTCTGGATAAAAAACTGTGGAATGGGCCACCAATGATACACCTTAAATGTAACTAAAGCTTAAAAGTACTGTAAAAATAAATGCAGAAATCATCTAGCTGAGACACCGGTATGCTAGGTTGAGTGGAAATCGAGTATTTCAAGCAAACAAACTGATGACAAGTATTAACTAAAGTGTCCCTGCCGGTTATGTGTGTTACAGTTCGCTTTTACCTCAGGGATATGTGCCCGTTATGTGTATTACGGTTCATTTTTAACTCTGGTGTATGTGCCCGTTATGCGTGTATTACGTTTTCCTTCTAACTCGGGTGTACAGTATGTGCCCGTTATGTGTGTTACGGTTCGTTTTTACCTTGGTTGTATGTGCCGTTATGTGTATTATGGTTCATTTTTAACTCGGGTGTATGTGCCCGTTATGTATATTACGTTTTCCTTCTAACTTGGGTGTATTTGCCCGCTATGTGTGTTACGTTTTCCTTTTAACTCGGATGTATGTGCCCGTTATGTGTGTTACATTTTCCTTTTAACTCGGGTGTATGTGCCCACTATGTGTGTTACGGTTTGTTTTTAACTTGGGTGTAGGTGCCGTTATGTATGTTACGTTTCCCATCTAACTCAGGTGTATGTGCACGTTATGTGTGGGTGTATGTGCCCGTTATGTATGTTACGGTTTGTTTTTAACTTGGGTGTATGTGCCCGTTATGTATGTTATGTTTTCCTTTTAACTCGGATGTATGTGCCTGTTACAGTATGTGTGTTACGGTTTGTTTTTAACTTGGGTGTATGTGCCCGTTATGTATGTTACATTTCCATCTAACTTAGGTGTATGTGCCCGTTGTGTGTGTTATGTTTTCCTTCTAACTCGGGTGTATGTGTCCGTTATGCGTGTTACCGTTTGTCTTTAACTCGGGTGTATGTGCCCGTTATGTGGGCTACATTTTCTTTTCTTTCAGAGAACTGCAGCATTTGTTTTTCAGTTAAAGGTTGGCAGTTATAAAAATAAAGGTGGTAGAAAATTTCATTTGTATTGATTTTGGGGGTGTTATAATTTAAAAATTTTGTTGAGGCACTGTATGTTACCATGTGCAGGGATGAATTTCTTAGTAAAATAACATAAATCTACACTTTTTAATTTCGCCTGAAGGTGGATGTACAGTTTTCGAATGTGGCACCTCAGTTTCACAGGGTGTTTAGAAATACCAGATGTTTCACAATAATATGGAAAATGTGAGTTTTTTTATTCCCTCTCGAAGTGTTTCCAAACACCAACTGTTATTGAATTTGCAGTGCAAATGCCAAGAGAATCAGAGTTTCAAAACGTTTTCTTTAAATGGTGCCAAGGAAAATGGAGATACTGAAAGCCACTTTTAGTAGTAATGCTGTTTACTCACATTGATAAAGGTTATGGTGTTTATTACACATTGACTGAACTACAGTGGGAGGCTAGTTGTCACCATAGAAAGGAGCATTGTCAGCATTCGGGGTGACGTAACAAAAAACAGGCCAAGAATTTGCTATTTTGCCTTCAACTACTCGATTTGTGTGGTTGGGGGATGCTTTGCATTTTCTCCTCTCTTAATGTATTACAAGAACCAATTATTCCTCTTTTGTTCACATAATGCACTCATCACACCTCTTGAGATACAGTCATGGCTCTATGGTGGTGTTTTAGGTTGCACTGTACTAGGTATTTTGATGGTACACAAGAACACAAAATTTGGACTAAATGAGGTATTGATGATTTACTGGAGGATGGATAATTTATTGTAAATGGGTGAAAAATCAGCTAAAATCACATGCAATGCAGAGTTCCTTAACATATATGGTAAGCGAGTTGACATGTACCTGATGGTATCCTACAGTACGCTGAGATAACCTCTCACAAAGTAATTTAACCTAACCTAACTTAACATTAGCATACATACATGCATCACATAATTGAATTATAATTATTAACATATAGTAATACTACATTGCACATTGGGTTCAGTGTCCAGCGTAATTCCTGATCTTGACAGAATACTTCGCCTACCGAAGATGGATGCAGCAGAGACCCATCAGCAGCTCCGGCACCAAGTAAACCAGCTTACCACCTTGGTAACCCAGATCCTGGAAGGGCAAGCTTCCCGAACCATCATGCTGACTTCCCCTCCATGAGCTGCTGCATCTGTTCCTCTCACTCTCCCGGAGAAGTATGACAGTAACCCAAATCCGCTCATTTTGATGCAGTGCGGTCCTTTCAAAGACAAATACCCAATCGCTGTCTAGATGACTCTGCATGAGTGCGCTTCATCTTTTCCCTACTTACTGGAAGGGCACGGGAATGGGCCACTGCACTGTGGACTGATGACTGTCCTCTGCTTGATTCTGCACATGAGTTTCAGCTCGCGTTCCGCAAAGTGTTTGATCACCCAGTTGTAGGGCGCAGCTTGGGAGAACGGCTTTGTGATCTAAAACAGGGCACAAAATCAGCTGCGGAGTTTTCTTTAGAATTCTGCACAGCTGAATTGCGGTGGCCAGACAATTGTTTTAAAATTCTTTACCACTGTGCCCTAATCCCCGATCTTCAGCTTGCCTCGTGAGGTGAAGCCCACTCCTTTGAGGATTATGTCAAACTGTCCATTACCCTTGATAACACAGTACGGGATCACTATCACCACGAAGCAAAGTCTGAAGCTCAGCAAGTCTCTACCTCTGCTCCTACTAAGAGGTCTGAACCCATGCAGTTTGGGCACTGTTGAGGAAAAACACTGATGGTACAAACAGTGACTCTGCCTATGCTGTTGGGAGCCTCGGCACTTGCTGCAGAATTGCCTGGTGTGCCCCACTTGTCCTGAAGACACAATGAAGGTAGGACTGTCCATCATCTAGGGAATCTCTCCTACTCAAGTGTGATGATCCTCTCAGCACTGGAGCAACTTCGAGAGACTGTAATCTTCACTAAGTTGGATCTGTGCAGTGCCTATACTCTCATTCAAATCAAAAAAGGAGACGAGTGGAAAACCTGCTTTATTACGAACGCTGGTCAATATGAAGGTCATGCCTTATGTATTAGCAAACAGCCCTTCCATTTTTCAGTCGTTCATGTATGAGGTGTTGGGTGGCATGTTTAATCGATTCGTCATTGTGTACATTGATGATATTCTGATTTTTTTCCTCCTCTCCTGAGCAGCATATATTGCATGTCTGACAGGTCTTGCAGAGACATCGTGAGCATCACCTCTATGTAAAAGGTGATGTGTCAGTTCCACCATTTCTCCCTGAAGTTCCTCAGTTACCTCATCCAGCCAGGGGCCATGACTATGGATGAGGGAAAAGTTGAGGTAATTAAGGAATACCCGCACCCAAGAACGGTAAAAGAGCTTCAATGATTTCTGAGTTTTGCTCATTTTTATTGCAGGTTCATTAGAAATTTCAACCACGTGACAGCTCCACTGACCACCCTCACTGGGGTCCAAGACCTCCCTCCAATGGAGATCTGAGGTCACTGGCACCTTCCGGAAGCTCCAGCAACCAAACCTGGAGCTCCCGTTTGAGGTATAGGTAGATGCCTCTGAGACAGGGGTGGGAGCAGTCATCATGAAGCAACACCAGTCGATACTTGTGCGCCTACTTCTCAAAAAAGCTCTCCCCAGCCAAGCGCAGTTACGACATGGGAAACTTTTGAACTTCTGGTGATCAAGCTGGTGTCACTGGCTGGAGGGAACTAAACACCCTTTTACTGTGTATACCAACCACTGTAATCAGGAATACCACCAGATTGCTAAAT